GAAGGGGGGGGCGGGGGGGGGAGGGGGAGGAGGGGGGTGGAGTGGGTGAGGAGGGGCACAGTCCAGGGGGCAGTGTAGTATGATACTCGGGGTGAAGAGGGAGGGGGGAGCAGGCACGGATTCGGCCAACTCCGCCTGTACCACTCGACGCACGACGATACCGAACGATCACAAACCTCACAACTTCACAGCTTCATTTTGGCAACCAGCATGTGAACGAGGCGTGAGTAGCGCCAAGTCTCGCCCTTGATACGCTTGAGCCGGAGGCCGTGCAGATCCATTTTCGGGATACGGCAGATCTCGAGCTCAAAGCGGACGGGAGACTGGGCATCGTCGGGAGGGAGCTCGGCTGGTGCGTCGGCAGCATTGGCTGAGTCTGCATGGCAGTCGATGCGGTAGGCGGTGCGCGAGTAGCGGATGCCGGCTTCGTCGAGGACGCGGAGGACCTCATCGAGGATGTCGTCTGCGGGCTTGTTCGAGGTTGTTGAGACCGAGAAGATGCCGCGGACGGTGCGGATGCGCGACTTGCGCGAGCCCGACGGCGAGCGCGAGGTCGAGGTCGATGCCGAGCCGGCCGACGAGACCGAGGCCCGCCGGCGGGCGCGCTCGCGGACGCGCGCCAGCATTGGCGAGAGCGCCGAGTCAGACGACTGGCCGAGGACGTCGACGGTGATCGAGTCTTGGTCGCCATTGAGGTTGGCCATCGACGCCCCGTGCGGCTGCGAGGACCGAGCCGAGATGAGCGACGAGTCGGAATCGCCGCGGGGTGACTTTTTCATAAACGCCTGTCGCGACGCTTCGACCCGGTCGATGCGAGACATAGCGCCCTCGCGCTTGGCAAGCTGGATCGAGGCCATGGCGGCGGCCGACGAAAAGTTGGGCAGCGACGACGCGAGCTCTGGCGCCGGTGCGGCCTGCCGCGCGCGCCGCGCGTTGACCTTGGCCGCCAGCGATCGGGCCGGCGACGAGCCGGACGGAGACAGTTCGCCTGTTCCGGCCCGCTGGCGAGAGCGGTGCCGGCTCCGGCTCGACTTTTTCTTGGGCGACGTCGGCGTTGTCGGCGACGTCGGCGAGAGCGGAGAAAGTGGTGAGGTTGTCGACGACGATGGCGAGGTAGGCGAGCGCGGCGAGACGACACGCGAGCGCGACGACGACGAGACCGTCGATGAGCGCTTGCGGGTCCCGCCAGACCGCGGCGAGGCGCGGGGGTGGCGACCGCCGGCCGCCGAGGTGGCGGCAGCGGCAGCTGCAGCGGCCTTGCTCATTGTCGACGCCAGCGGCGACGAGACGCGCGGACGGTGGCTCTTATGCGGAGAGGCGAGCGGCGACGACGGAGTCGTCACGGTGGTCTTGCGGACACGGAGCATGGGGACGACGTCCGATGCCTCGCTGGTGGCGGCGCCGTTGGTGGCGGCGACCATGGCACGAAAGTCGGCCGGTGAGGCCTTCTTCCGCTGGGCAAGGAGAAAGTATGTCGTTGTCGCCTGGTTGCGCATGCCTTCGGTGAGGCCGGCACGAAGCTCGGGCTCGGGAAACCCAAACGAGTCACAGAGGGCGATGAGCTCGGGATCGGGCTCACCAGCAAGGCGGTCGAGCGGCGACGAGGCGAGGACGCCAGCGCGCATGGCGGTGCTCGCATTCTCGACAATCCACGGATGCTGCATGATGCCCTCGATGGTGATGCGCTTGGAAGGGTCCACCACAAGCATGCGTGCAATGAGATCGCGGATGGGTGGCGACATCGACCGCGGGCACTTGTACTTGCCGGCCATGACCTTGCGGTAGAGCGCCGAGACGTTTTCATCGTCAAAAGGAAGGTAGCCCGCAATGAGGGCGTAGAGGATGACACCCATGGACCAAATGTCGACGCGCTTGCCGTCGTAAGCCTCGCCGACCACCATCTCGGGCGGCGCGTACGCCGGTGAGCCGCAAAACGTGTTCAACAGCGCGCCGTCTTGAAAGGTGTTGGCAAAGCCAAAGTCGATGATCTTGATGTGCGACTTGTCATCGAGCAGCAGATTCTCCGGCTTGAGGTCGCGGTGGATGATCGAGTTGCAATGGCAGTAGTGGACCGCAGAGAGCATTTCCAGGAAAAACTTGAGTGCCTTGCTCTCCTTGACCTTGCCATGCGTCACAATGTAATCAAAGAGCTCGCCGCCAGTGGCGTACTCCATGACCAAGTAGATGTGCCCGGGCGTGTCGAGAACCTCATACAGCTGTACAATGTTCGGATGCCGAAGCAGCTGCAGGATTCGGATCTCGCGCGTCACTCGCTCGAGCTCCTTCTCGGTGATCTTGTCCTTGTGCAGCACTTTGATGGCGACCTGGGAATAATAGGAAAAAAGCAATGTGGATGTGAGTCAGTCCAATTTGCGCTTGGCACGCGTAAAGCGCCGACGGCCGCTCATTCGGCGCTGTTGAGCGCCACGTGCCAGGGGTCCAGGCACGGCGGCCGTGGCCAAAGACGACGGCCGCATTGGCCTACAAGCAGCAGTAGAGGACAAAAGGTCACATCTCCACCTCGTCCGCCTGTCACTGCCGCCCTGCACCTCTTCTATCTCCCTGACAACCTGCAAAGAAGTGGGGAGGGGGGGGGGGGGCGGCGAGTGGGCAGCAAGCCACACAAATTGTCCGACGTACCGTCTCTCCCGTCAGGGTGTGGGTTGCCGAAAGGACCTTCCCGAACGAGCCCTCACCGAGCGTCTTGCCCAGCTTATAGTTCCCCACAAAGGTGCCACGCTGCGACCGCGGGGACGACGGCGGCGGGTGTTCTGACCGCTGCCGCGGCTCGGCGTCGAGAGCGAGCGACAGGCTCGACGCCATGATGAGAGGTGACGACCCTCTCCCTCCTCTTGCTGCCGAGCGGGTGTGGCCACCGGCCCGCAAGCCGGCGAACGTTTGCCGGAAGCTTGACTAATTGGGTCTCGGTTTTTTTCGCTTGGCAGGGAAAGACTCCGATGATAAAATTTTGTGGTGGTGGAGAATGCCCCGGGGCGAGAGAGGGTGGAGGGGAGGGCTACGATCCCACCCGCCAGCCGTGTCGACTACCTTTGGGCCTGCCTCTACCGACGACGGCTTCCAACCCCAAGCTCCGCTTCACCCTCACCCTCCGCCACCCGCCTCACTCTGGCATTGTCGCCTTCCCCCCCTCTGTACTCCTCCCCACACACCCTCTCTGGCCATGTTCCGCAACGCCCTAGCGACGCGGACGTTCAGCACGGCGGCGGCGGCGTCGCGTCGGCTGCAGCTGCCGTCGGTGGCGGCGCTCGCTGCCCGCAACGGGTGGGACCTTGCTGCGGTCCTGGACAATGTCGAGGGAACCGGCCACCACGGGACGGTGACCAAGGGCGATGTGTTGGCGTATACTGCTGCTGGTGGCGCATTTCCCGCGGCGAGCGTGTCCGCCAGCCCCAGCGAGGCCGCGGGTGCGAGCTCGGGCGCGGCCGCTGCCGGCTCCTCGCTGGAGCTGTTCTTTGCCTCGCGTGATGTGGGGCTTGCCACGGGCTTCCGTGTTGTCGACACACCGGCCAAGGCGCTGCCAGAGGCCGACCGGCACGCCGACGTGGCTGTGAGCGGCGCGCAGGCTGCGCATGCCGCGGCAGCGGTGGCGGCCAAGGCTGCCGCGCCGACCGTCTACGCCACCGCCGCACCCGACGTGCAGCCGGTCGCCGACCTGCTGGGCCTAGACCTGCCGACGCTGCTTGCCGGCGCCGAGACCGGCGCGCCGCTGCCGCCGCGACTGGCGCGGCTGCTGGTGGTTGCCGCTGCTCAAGCGCTCCGCTCGCACCCGGCGCTCAACGCACACTGGGACGACGCGGCCGGCGCGCCGGTCACATGCCGCGACGTCAACGTCCTCTTTCATCATGTCGCTGACCCGCACGGTCCGGTCCGTGTCTCATCGGCCCTCATTCCCAAGGCGCAAGCTGCGCCGCTGGCCACCGTCGACCGCATCGTCGACGACGCTGCGCCGTCAGCCGAGATGCCGACCTTTGCCATCGCCTCGCTCACCCCGCTCCCGGTGACGTCGGCCCTACTCTCGGTCCCGCCGCCGGCCGTCGCCGTCCTCTCGCTCGGCACGCTCACGGCGTCGGTCGAGCCGGCAAAGGACCCGACTTCGGGGGCGCTCGCCCTCCGCCGCCGCGATTCTGTCCAGCTGGCCATCACCGCCGACGCCCGCGCCGTCGATGCTGCCGAGCTCAACGCGTTCCTCGACACCCTCACCCGTGCCCTTGCCAACCCCATCCAGCTCCTGATGTGAGGCTTGGCGTAGTCTGTCCTCAACGGCACGGTCGTTCGAGCGCGCTATCGTGCGCCTCGCGGTGACCGCAAGCATAAAAGCTGCTCAGCCTGAGCCGGCCGTCGCGCCGCCGATACCCTTGGCTGGGGTGCGCGAGTTGATGGGCTTTTGACAACGCACAAGATGTAGACGCCGGCCTGGATGCCGACTGTAAACTCCCCAAACTCAGACCCCATGCCGGGACAAAGTAGCAGTCCGCGTCTCTGCGCATCACGCAACTCCACGACCACCACTTCTCCGCATCTACAGCCATGTCGACGACCAAGCCCAAGCTGACGTACTTTCCGCATGCCGGTCGCGCCGGCGCCATCCGCGACGTGCTGGCCGACGGAGGCGTCGAATTTGACGACATCCGCATCCCATTTCCAGAGTTTGCCGAGCTCAAGCCGTCGCTTCCCTACGGCTCCTTGCCCGTCCTCGAGATCGACGGCACCGACTACGCCCAGTCGAACGCCATCCTCCGCTACGCCGGCAAGCTGACCGGAGCCTACCCGGAGGACCCGGTCGCCGCCCTCATGGTCGACGAGCTGCTCGACGCTACGGAGGACATCGTCAACATGCTCGCACCGTCGATGCGCGAGAGCGACGAGGAGAAGAAGCTCGCCATGCGCGCCGTCCTCATGGCCGGCCCGCTGCCGACGGCGCTCGCGCTTCTGGAGAAGCGCATCGCCCGCAACACCGCGTCGGTGTACGCTGTTGGCGCCGCCAAGACCGTCGCCGACTACAAGATGAAGCTCCTGGTTGCTCTCCTCACCTCGGGCAATGTCGATGGCGTGCCCACGGACGTCATCAACGCCGACTCGCACCCAGCTACCACTGCCCTTGTCGCCGCTATGTCCTCGTAAATCGCTGCAAGCGCAAGCGCAAGCCCCGTCACCATACCATATCCCCCGCTCAGCGCGACCCTGCGACCTAACTCTGTGACTTGCGCATGCGCCGTGACACACACACGTCGGCCAACCACCGCACCCAGCCCCCGCACCCTCATCGCACTCCACCCCTCTTCCCAACAACTGCAACATGTCCACTAGCAAGCTCAAGCTGACGTACTTCCCCTTCCCCGGCCGCGCCGGCGCCATCCGTGATGTCCTCAACGACAACGGTGTCGAGTTTGAGGACTTCCACGTCGCCTTTGCCGATTTTCCGGCCCTCAAGCCGTCGCTGCCGTACGGCGCCATGCCCGTCCTCGAGATCGACGGCACCGACTACGCTCAGTCGAACGCCATCCTCCGCTACGCCGGCAAGCTGACCGGGGCCTACCCGGAGGACCCGGTCGCCGCCCTCATGGTCGACGAGCTCCTCGATGCTGCCGAGGACGTCATCGGCCTGCTCACGCCGTCGATGAAGGAAAAGGACGAGGAGAAGAAGCTCGCCATGCGCGCTGCCCTCATGGCCGGCCCGCTTCCAGACCTGCTTGCCCTTGTTGAGAAGCGCGTGGCCCGCAACACCGAGTCCGACTTTGCTGTCGGTGCTGCCAAGACTGTGGCCGACTACAAGCTCAAGTACCTGGTTGGCTTTGCCACCTCGGGCAACATCGATGGCGTGCCCAAGGACGTCATCAACGCCGAGTCGCACCCGGCTCTCACCGCCCTCGTTGCCGCCATGTCCTCCTTACGATGCACTCCCCTGTGCCTGACCCCATGCATGGCCCCAAAGAAAACACCTGATTTTGCCCCGCTGCCCCACTTACCTCTGTGACGGCGACGCACGGCCGTTGCCACCACAACACGCCCCTCGCCACCACTTTCCAAACAGCCTCCCCCCCCCCCCCCCCACCACCACCACCACCACACGTACATACATACACATACATACATACATGTCTGCCGCCGACGACGCCCTCGCAGACCTCCTCACCGAGCTGAACGAGTCGGCAACCACGGCGGCGGTGGCGGTGGCGCCGGGCGTGCCACGGGCGCCGGCCACCCCGTCCACGCCACGCCGGCACGCCTCCGACGAAGACTCGTACACTTACTCGGGCTCGGGCTCGGGCTCGGGCTCGGGCTACGGCTCGGGCTCGGGCTACGGCTCAGACTCGGACTCGGGCCACGGTTCAGACTCGGGCTCGCGGCCATCACGCTCGCCGCTCGCGGCCCACGCCGCTTCGAACGTCTCGCTCGACGAGGATCGCGCGCTCCAGCTGCTGGTGGAGGAGATGGCCACGCTCGGCTCGGACGAGCCATCGTCGCCGGCTACCTTTTTTCCGCTTCACGACGACGACGCAGCAGGCTCAGACTCGGGCTCTGCCGCCGCCCTTCCAAACAAGAAGCGGTCTGCCGCCGCCCTCGCGGCCTCGCTCGTCCTCGACGATGCTTCCGTCGTCGCTCCGCACGCTGCTGCAGGCGCCGCTCCCAAGACCCAGGCCGACCTCGACTTTGAGCGGCTGGTGGCCGGAGAGGGCCCGATGGCCAACGCGTCCAGCGCATTGGCCAAGCACGCCGCCTTGGCGTCCAACGCAGAGGCTGCCGCCGAGGAGCGGACCCGCGCCATGACTCAGGTCTCCCGCTTTGAGGCCATGCTCACGTCGTCGTTTGAGTCGCTTGAGGAGCTCCTTGACGACGTCCGCAGATCAAGCTCCAAGCCGTCGTCGTCGCTCCGCAAGGAGGCGCTCTCGATGGCCCGCCGCTCCAACCGCAGGTTCTCGGTCACCACCCCGTCGACCGTCCCGGCTCGTGTCACCGCCGAGAGCGAGCTCGATGGTGGGCGGAGCTCCGACTCGATCACGCCGGCCGACCACTCGCGGCTCCGGAAGGAGCTCGACCGCACCCCGCTCTGGGACGACTACACCGTGCCCGAGTACCTCACCAGTGAGTACGATCCCGATACTCGCCGCAACGTCCTTGTCGCTGGTTCGCTCAACGGCATCATCCACTGGATCTCCGACTATGCCTCCCGAAACGATGCCGAGCGCTACCGCTTCTTTATGGCGTACCAGTCGCTGATGACCCCGGCTGCGCTTGTGCAGAAGCTCCACGAGAAGTTCCACACTCCGCACGCTGAGCTACCGCCGTACCCGCTCTTCTCTTCGCTCTTTAACGACATGGTCTCGCTGCAAAAGGAGAACGTCCTCCGCACCCTGCTCTTCTGGCTCCGTGTCCGTTTTGACCAGGACTTTCTGGCCAAGAAAGAGCTCAAACCCGTTACCGCACTCGTCACCGATGTCCTCGCCGACGCCGGCTCGGACGGCGCCGGCCCGGCAGGTGTCGCCTCGCCGCCGGCAGCCAACGGCAAAGGCGGTGCAGAGACACCGCCGCCGCCTGTCCGGAGCCCTGCCGAGCGGGTTGTCGATGCTGCGCAGGACATTCGCGCGCTCCTCCGCTCCAAGCGCTCGTCGCGGAAAAAGTCGCTCCTCCCCTCATCGGTCGGCCTCTCGCAGACCGGCATGTCGCTTGTCTTTACCGAGCTCGACTCGGCCGAGCTCGCCGAGCAGATGACGCTCCGCGAGATCGAGCTCTGGGGCGCCCTCAACGTCGATGAGTTCCACGGCCTGCCGTGGATGAAGCCTGAGACCGTCCACCTCTGCCCAAACATCATCAACATCATCGAGCACTTCAACTCGCAAACATCGTGGCTCACCGCCGTCGTTGTCCGCGAGTCGCGCAAGGCCGGCCGCAACGCCGCCATTTCCAAGATTGTCGCCCTCGGCGAGCACTTTGTCGAGCTCCGCAACTACAACGGCGTCATGACCTGCCTCGCCGCGCTCAACGGCGCGCCCGTCCAGCGACTCAAGCGGACGTGGAAGTCAACAAGTCGCAAGGCCAGAAAGGCGCTCGCCACCCTCAACGAGACCATGGACATGTCGTCCAACTTTAAGCGCTACCGCGCCGCCCTCACCGCCGCACCCAAGGACGTCGGCATCATTCCCTACTTTGGCATTGTCCTCTCCGACTTGTGCATGATCGAGGAGGGCAACGCACGCGACGCCGCAGACGCCCCGCCCGGCATCTACAACTACCAGCGCGTCCGCCTCATTGGCAAGGTCCTCAACCAGGTCTATGAGCTCAAGAAGAGTCACGCCCTCTACTCGATCACAAAGAACTCGCCTCTCCTCACCTTCATTATCAACAAGGAGAACGAGGACCTCACCGACGACCACCTGTACCAGCTCTCCATCGCCGCCGAAAACGACTCTGGCCGTCGCTCGCGCAACTTGACGGCGGCGAGCGGCGAAGACGACGACGTCGGCGCGTGACCACGCTAAAGAAAGTATGCCTTGCCTCTACCACCGGTGCGTCCTCTGCAGCTCAACTACTGCGCGATCCCGATCGCGATGCCGAAGCAGAAGCCGAGCTAACGGCAGCCTCCATCGCGCCGCCGCCCGCACCATCGTCGCCGCCGCCAAGGTGCGACGCGTCGGTGTAGGTAAAGCCGGCAAACACGTCCTGGTCAACAGTGGCCAGGAGTGACGGCCCGCCGGCCGACGGCGTGTACGCCGACGTCTGTGGATCGTGTTGGTCAAAGTGCGAGACGTCGAGCTCGGTAGCGAGTCGTGGGACGTGCACCGGGGTGTACGCCTTGTTGTACACGGCGCCAAAGTCAAGGTCGGCAAAGAAGGGATGAGCTCGGATCGGCGCTGCGTCAGTCGGCCCGCTGCCAAGCCGCTCCTCCGGCTCAACCACCAGGAGCTTGGCGATGAGATCGCGAGCCGGGCGCGACCGCAGCTTGTCGGGAATGACCAGCTTGCCACGCATGATGCGCTTGAACATCCGCGTCTTGTCAACGGCCTCGTAGAACGGCGGAAGGCCGAGGAACATCTCGTAGACAAGCGTGCCAAACGACCACCAGTCGACCGCCCGGTTGTACTTGCGCCCTCGAAGGACCTCGGGCGCGAGGTACTCGGGTGTCCCGCACAGCGTCCCAGTCCGGCCGGTCGGGTCCGTCTCCTCCTTGGAGAGGCCAAAGTCTGCCAGGCGGATGTGTCCGTCCTTGTCAAGCAACACGTTTTCGGGCTTGAGGTCGCGGTAGATGATCCCGAGCGAGTGCAGATGCTCCAGCGCGAGCACCATCTCGGCCGCGTACAGCCGGACCTGCTCCTCAGGCAGCCGGCGCTTGCGCTGCAGGAGCGTGAAAAGCTCGCCGCCAGGCACGTACTCGAGGACAAAGAAGAGCTTGGATGGCGACTGGAAGGCGTAGTACATGCGGACGATGAACGGATGGTCGACCTTGAGCAGGATGTTGCGCTCGCCGAGCGTGTGCTCCACCTCGTCGCGCTCGACAATGTCTTTCTTCGACAGCACCTTCATGGCAAACACTTCGCCCGTCGCCTCCAATCGGACCAGGTAGACCTTGGCAAACGCGCCCTTGCCGAGCATCTGCAGCAGCGCAAAGTCGTCCTTGTCCACGCTGCTCGGCCGCCCGCCAGGTGCCGCCGTGAACGACGGCGGCGTGTACCCGCACCCGCCGCGCCCTCCATTCGCGCCGCTCCCGTCGCCGTGCACAGTTGCCGCCGCCCCGGCATGCCCAGGCCACCCCGTCCCGCCGCTTCCGCCCCCCGCCTCACCGCCGAGCACGCCGTACGTCTGTCCGCGTCGCGCCCGGAGGCACAGCACCACCGCCACCACCGCCACCGCCACCGCCGCCACCCCGAGCAGCACGCACAGCAGCACAAGCTCTGTTGCCATGGAAAAGGAAAGAGCTGGGAGGTGTGAAGTGGGGGGGGGGGAGGTCGGTGAAGGGGGAGGGGGGGGGGGAGGGGAGGTCGGGGGGCCGGGGAACATGCGTGTGCGGTGTGTGCGACGGAGCGGCTGGCGGTCGGCGGTTGGCGGTTCGTGGCGGTCCGTCGGCACGTTTACCACAACAACGATGGTGATGAGCTTGGGATGGAGAGAAAGGGAAGGGAGGGGAGAGGACAGAGTCAAGCCATGCACAGGTCAAGCAGGTGAGGCAGGTCAGATACGAGTGCGGCCCGGGTCAAGCACCGATCAGGCCGACGACGAGGCGGCGGCGGCCGGAACGGCCTCGGCAGCAGCATCGGCCGAGTACGGGCGGAGGGCCGGGCGGACGTAGTCGGGGCCCTCGTGGATCTCCTTGCCGAGCTTGTGGAATGAGTCGACCTGGATGATGCGCTCGCGGGCAGCCTCGACCTCGTCGACGAGGGCCTGCTCCGAGTCGGTGAGGGCGCGGCCGGTCTTGCGGACGTCGCGGTAGATGTCATCGACGCGAACAGCCTTGTCGAGCATGCGGTTGAGGAGCGAGACCTGGTCATCCTCCGAGTCCCAGTCGACAAACATGTTCTTGGAGAGGAGCTGGCGGACAGGGGTGTCGTGCGTGATGAGCGACGAGACGGCGGCGACCTGCTTGTCCGACGGGCGCTTGTACGGCTTGCCGAAGGGGAAGGTCAGGGCGCGCATGGCCCAGCCGAGCGGCCGCATGGGGAAGTTGCGGGCAACCTCGGTGAGTGCCTCCTGGAACTCAAAGAGCAGCTGGTCCATGGCGTGCTCGAGGATGACCTCGCCGCCCTCGACCCGGTTCTGCTTGTGGTACCAGAGCGTGGCGTGGGCGAGGTAGATGGTGGAGAAGGCGTCGGCCATGCGGCCCGAGACAAATTCCTTGCGCTTGAGGGCGCCGCCGAGAGCGAGCGTGAGGTCGGCGGCAATGGCAAAGTTGGAGACGGCCTTGCCCAGCTGCGACTCGTAGTACGAGGTCAGGTTCGACTTGGACCGGCTGCGCGTGACGTTGGCGAGGAGCGAGCCAAAGGTGTTGGTCACACCGTGCTTGACAAGCGAGAGCAGCGCCGACTTGAAGCCCTCGGGGTCGTTACCGTGGTTGACCGACTGAATGAGCGGGAGCATGTGCGGGTGCGCACGCACCACGCCCGAGCCGTAGATGATGAGCGACCGGCCGAGGATAGACGCACCCTCGACGGTCCGTCCGACGTGCGCGGCCTTGACCGCCGTGTCGAACGAGAGCCCGGCCTTGGGCCCGGCAATGAGGCCCTTGCCGGCGAGGACGTTCATGGCGTCCGAGAGCGCCGCAAAGGCCCGCTCCGTCGACTCGTACTTCATCACCGCAGAGAGGACCGACGGCTTCTCACCATTCTCCAGAACAGAGTCAATGAACGTCTGCCCGGCCTTGAGTGTGTACGCCGTCGACGCGATGCGCGCCAGCGGCTCCTTCACGCCCTCAAGCTCCGCAACAGGGACCTTGAACTGCTTGCGGAGCCGCGCGTATGCGCCCACCACATTGGCCGCGTACGTCGACGCCGCAACGGAGCCGCCCACCAGCGAGACCGACCGGCCGATCGAGAGCTGCGCCATGAGCATGGCCCAGCCCGAGCCGACACGCTCCGGCCCGCCCATCATCATGTCCAGCGGGATGAAGACCTCCTCGCCCTGGACAGTCCCGTTCATAAACGCAAGGCCCATCGGGTCGTGCCGCGGACCCATCTCGAGACCCGGGTGCGACCGCGGGAGGAGCGCCACAGAAATGCCCTCCTTGGCCCCGTTGATGCCAGTGAGCAGGCCGTCCGGGTCGGTGACGTCGATGGCGAGGCCGACAAGCGAGGCCACCGGCGCGAGCGTGATGTACCGCTTCGAAAATGATGCCACAATGCCGAGCTTGCCGTCGCGCTCCACCACAACGCCGCGGTCGCGCATCGTTGCCGCGTCCGAGCCCGACGTCGGGCCAGTGAGGCCAAAGCACGGGATGTCGACACCCTTGGCCAGGCGCGGCAGGTAGAAGTCCTTCTGCTCCTGAGTGCCAAAGTGCTGCAGCAGCTCGGCCGGGCCGAGCGAGTTGGGCACCATGACCGAGACCGCTCCGGCCGCCGATCGCGTCGCAATGCGCTCGATGATGAGCGCGTGCGCGTGCTGCGAAAAGCCGAGCCCGCCAAACTCGGGCGAGATGCAGAGGCCCATGAAGCCCTTCGACCGAATGTAGTTCCACACCTCCACAGGCAGGTCCTTGTCTTCGTTGACCTGGTAGTCGTCGATCATCTTGCACAGCGTGTTGACCTCGTTGTCCATAAACGACTGTTCCGCAGCCGTCAGCTTGACCTCACGGTACGTCGTATCCACGTCAAACGCCTTGGTATCGCCAGCATACACCGCCTGGTCAAACCCGACCGTGCCGGCCTCCAGCGCATCACGCTCCGTCTCGGAGATCTTCGGCGTCACCTTCTTGGCCACCTTGTACGCGTAGTTGAAGATGGTCCGGGCGCCTGTGCGGGGGATCGTGGCAAGGTGACGAGGGGTGAGGCGGTGGAGGGGGCACGGGGGAAGGAGGGGGGGGGGGACCACAGCAGGGAGAGGGAGGGGGGGGGAAGCGAGAGAGAGAGAGACCAGAGCGGGAGGGAGGGAGGGGAAGGGCGTCGCTATCCGAAGCGTGCTGTTGGGACAAGGGCAAGAAGGCGCAGCGCAGCGGGTGCGGCGGCTGACGCGTCGGCGGGTAGGCAGGTCGTCAGCCGGGCCGAGCTGAGGATGACGGGGACGGGCATGGTAGCGAGGGGAGGGATGGAACTGGGGCAGACATACCGAGGCCGGTAGGGGCAGTGGCAAGGAGGGTGCGCGAGGTGGCAGCCGTGGCCACGGCGCGCGCCATGGCCGTAGAGGCAGCGTAGCGGATGGAGAACATGTCGAGCAGTGTGCTCACTTTGCCACTCAAACGTCGGTGTGTGGCTAAAATTGCCAAATGGTGGTGCCTCGCAGGAGGGGGGGGGGGGGGGGAGTGGAAGAGGTGAAAGTGCAGGGTGGTGCTGCCGTGGACGGGGGGAGCCCAGATCGATGGCTCACAGTTGCGATCATGAGCACCATGCGAGACCAAATGTCGAAGATGCGGCGGCAGCGAGTGTACTGCACCCGTGCATCAGCATCGCTACCGTCATCGTCATCGTCATCATCGTCATCTCAATCGCAGCCCGCCATCAATGTGTTTGTAACTGTGTTTCGTCCGCGCCGTTGGCTGTCTGTGGCGGGCATGCCGAGCGATCAACGAATCTCATCTCAAAAGTCAAACTTTCGCACTCTGCCACACAGCTCGCCATCATGCAAACGACGGCAAGCGACAGGACGGGGCACATCGAGGCTGCGGGTGACTATAAGACGGTGGGGCGGGACAGAGGCGCGTGGACCCGCAAGGTGATGGGCCCGGCGTCGCCGCTGCGAGAGCTCAACGGGCGGCCGCCGGCGGCCGCGTCACGGAAGCGCAAGCGGCCGGCCAACGGTTGCGGCGAGAGTGAGGCTGCGGAGAACCGGGTGCGTGCGCGGGCCAAGACCGAGCCGCCGCGAGAGTATCGCTGCACCTACGCCCAGTGCTCGTTTGCGTACACGGGAGACATTTCACTGTTGTACAAACACGTCGTCTCGTGCCATGCCGAAGGGCCGGGCCTCTACACCGGCAACCTCGCCGGGGTGAGCAGCACGACGAGCGTGCTCGACAAGTTGCGCGGCGCGGGCAAGTCGCGGGGTGGTGCAAGCGGAGGCCTGCCGTCGCCCGTCGACCGCATCAAGGCCGAGGCCCAGCGCGGGCTCTCGCCGGCGCGCGACACCCGTGCGTGCGCCCGGCGGTCGTGGATGACCCGGACGCGGGCGGCCGGCCGCGGCAAGTCCAAGCTCCGCAGAAGCGAGTGTGAGGGCAACCGGTTCATTACCAACGACCAGCTGTAACCTGGGTCATGCCGCGTTCTGCACAAGGAGCGGCGGGTAGGCACGCGAGTGCACGGCCTTGCGGCGTGCGCTCTTCGGCCTCACCCACCGCCAGTACGCCAGCGCGAGCATGGCGGCAATGTTGACAACGACAAAGCCGAGGCCGACGCCAAAGACGACCCAGAACCCGCGGGTCACTTCTTCACAGTACGACGTCTCGCCGTTGAACGCTGCAGCGTCACCAAAACACACCCTCACGTCGGCCGAGACATGGTCCCGCTTGGCAAGATGCGGCAGGTGCTCGAGGCAGTGCTGCTCGTCGAGCGCGCCCATCGAGGTGAGGGCAAAGAGCGAGCAGTCGGTAAACTTCTGAGAGCATCGAGTGCAGAGCCACGGGCCCTGAAAGGTGGTAAAGCCCGAGCCGGTCATGGTCGGATACGCGGCCGGGAGGACGGCAAAGACAAAGACAAAGGCGACAAAGGCGATCCACACGCTCAGAGGCCCCACCCAGCGCAGGCGCGACCGCGAACACCACGACCCGCCGGCGCCGGCGCCGCCACCACTTCCGCGCCCGCTCTGGAGCTCCAGCGGGCGCGCCCCCAGTAGCGAGCTCGCGCCGGTCGTCGACTTGAACGCATACAGGTCGAGCGCGCCCGGCAGGTTGACGTGCAGGTAGTGGCCGTCGTGGACGACGTAGCAGCCAAAGACAAATGCTGGGTTGGCCGACGACGAGAGGTAGACGTGCCACGGCGCGCCGTAGAACTGGTGCAGCGCATCGCGAAAGTTGTGCGCTGCATCTGACGAGACCGAGGTGGCCATCTCGAGGGCGAGCGACACAATGTGGGTGGTCTCGGTCTCCGGCAGCGTCGTCTTGCGGATGTCGAGGCCGGCCACGCCGGCGATGCGGTCGAGCGGAAGTCGCGGCGGCGTCCGGCTCGCCGGGCGCTCCATGGTCACGGGTGGGGCCTGGTACAGCTGGTAGTTGACGCCGTCGAGGTTGAAGAACAGCATGGTGCCCTTGGTGTACTGGAACCGCGAGGTCATCTTCCGCCGCGTTGCCGTTGCCAGCCATGTCCCGCCACGGCTGGCCTTGAGCGCCGTCACGATCGCCCTGCACCGATGGGTAAAGTTGCGTGGGTGCTCTGCCGCCGCCACCCGCACCACTTCGGTCGCCGCTGTCACCTCGTCGGCCGCCATGTCCGTCTGGTGGACCCGCAGTGCAGCCATAGCGGGTGTATGTGTGTGGGGGGGAATGGTGTGGTGTGGTGTGTGGTGTGTGTGTTTGTGTGTGTGTGGTGGTGGAGTGTAAAGTGGTGGTGTGTGTGTCTGTGTGTGTCTGTGTGTATGTGTGTGTGTGTGTGTGGCAGGGAGAGGCGGTGGGGGTGGCATGCGCCAGCAGCTTATTAGCTTGCATGCACCACCTGCCGCTCGGTTGCTGCCATGGCATCCACCCTGCCACCGCTACCCCACGATCTGTCCCTCAAGCTGCTGTTTGGGGAAATTAGCTTTCGCTGGGAGCTTGTGCGGTTGTACATCCATCGGCCCATGTGCGGAGCTGGGCCTCGTACACCTCATCAGGCTGGACAGAGGGACGGCAAGCGCGGACACGGGCAAGCGCATCGTCGTAGCCGAGCCCGAGTGCGCGCATTACGTAGCTGACGACGATGGCTCCAGATCGGTTGACGCCACGGAGGCAGTGGACAAGGACGCGGCCGCCGCTGGCCCGGGCGCCGTCGATGAACCCATGCGCATCATCAAGCACTGCTGTAATGTCCTCGTCTGCTGCGTGGGTGAGCCCGATGACCCGCAACGCGTCCGCTCCGCCCGCCTCCACCAGATAACTCTCCACCTCATCAGGGTGGCACACGTCCTTGTCCATGCACAGAACGTGCGTGATACCAGCCTTGCGCAGTGCCATCACGTCGCTTGCCGCCCGGAACCCGCCAAGATGCACCTGTCCATGCCGCGAATCGTCCACCACCCCGTATCCCGCCGCGACACCCTCGCTCCCTTTGTCACCGTCCGACGCGCCGCCGCACGCCTCGGCTGAGCCTACCACCACCAGGTCAAATGCTATCTGCCCGGGGATGGTGAACATGGCCAATGTCGCGACGTGTGGGTCGGGCTCGGGCTCGATGCGGTGGCCGGCCGTGAAGCCTGGCGGCCACGGGGAGCAGACACCGATTTGGGGGGAAGGGGGAGTTCAGCTTGACCCGGCGTCATCCCGGCGTCAGTCACTCATACACCACAGACAGGCACCCACCCACGAACACCACCTCAGCCCTAACTAGCAACCTATCCATTGTCTCGACCATGTGTGCGGCATGCGCCCGCATGCTTCACTGCGTCTGAGAGCTGTGTGCCTGGCGTATGCCGTGACAAACCACACACGTCATCGCGGCGTCATCTCCCGTCATCACTGCGTGGCGCCAATTCGAGTCGCACTGATCTGATCCCCAGACGGTACGCTCTTGCCGCCCGCAGCATCACCCCTCTTCAAGACAAGACAGGACAGCCAAACAACAGTAGAACCATGCTTCGCAATCTGGGACAGAGCATCGTGCGGGCCGCCGGCGCAGGGCGGAATTGGACGTCGTCGGCGGTGTCGGCCAAGGTCGCCCAGCTGCCCGTCCTGCGGGCGACGGGCGGAACCGAGGTCAAGGCCGAGGAGGCACTGGCGGGCAAGACGGTGGTCGTCGGCGTCGTCGGAGCCTTTACCGGCGTCTGCACCTCGGAGCACGTGCCGGCCTACGCTCGCGCTGCTGAGGCGTTGAAGGCCAAGGGCGTCGACGGCGTTCGCGTGGTCTCGGTCAATGACCACCTCGTCATGGACGCCTGGGCAGAGTCGATGGGTCTCGCTGGTGAGGCCGGCAAGGCTGCAGGCATCGAGTTCCTCTCCGACCCGGACGCCTCGTTCACCTCGGCGCTCGATCTCTCTATCGACCTCTCGGGCGCCGGCCTCGGCACCCGCTCGCAGCGCTACGCCATGATCGTCGAGAACGGCCAGGTCAAGGACGTGTTCGTGGAGACCGTCCCGTCCGAGGTCTCTGTCTCGGGCGTCGACCACGTTCTCTCCAAGCTGTAAACTCCCACTTGAGCCACACAATGCTGGCCTCTTTGCCTCCCCATTTATCGATCTCGCACGCGCCGCCGCTACAGATGCTCGTCGGCGAGCGCCCGGACCTTGGCGGCAAACGACGGCGAGGTGATCGGCGAGTTGAGCTTGTAGAATGGGTTAAGCGCCATCTTCATGTACAAATCGTAGACGCGGGTAAAGAAGGTTCGGATGCCGTCGTCGTTGCGCGCATCATGGAGGATGAGGAACCGGATGTTGCCGGCCGTGACAAAGGCCGAGACCTCCCACTCCTCAAACTTGTCGACCTTGCGAAGGAACATGTTCTGCGTCCGCCACATCTCCTCATCCACAACGTCCAGCGCCGAAAACAGCACAAAGTGCGTCAGTACGTCCTTCTGATCCGCCTACACCTCGTCCACCTTGCCTCGGTCAGTCGCGCATGATCGTCGCCCCCCCCCCCTCCCTCCACTCCCCCCTCTTCTTATTCCCCATCCTCTCGACATACCTTGTCCATACCCGACGAGAGGCCGACCGAAGCCAGCGATGCGGCCTTGCCGTTGTTAATCACCTGGTTCTCAAACAGCAGCGTGTCGTCCGAGCCCACCATGACGAAGAACGAGTTCATGGCTCGCCTTGCTCAAGGAGTCAGCCACAGCCACAGCCACAGACACAGACAAAGTCACAGACACAGACACGGACACGGAGACAGACACAGATACGCGCACGCACACACGCCCCGCCTGGCTCTCTCTCTCTTTCTCTCTTTCTCTCTTTCTCTCTTCGGCGCAACTCGAAAGAGAGTCGAGTGCGTCGTCGTCGTCGCCGTGGCTGGCCCTGGCCTTGCCTCCGCCTCCGGCAGCACGGTATCCGGCCACGGTACTGCCTTGCCCGTCCATGGCCACTGTGAGTCATCTGATAAGGCTGCTGGGAAAAGAGTGTTTGTTGCACGAGAGGCGGCCTGGTTCACATCGCGGCGGTCTCGCGGGCATAGACCCGGACAAGGTGCAGCGGACCGATGGTCATGGTCTTCCACGTGTCGTGGGCGGTCCAAGGTGCGCGATGCGGCGCCCATACGAGGCGGGTGGCGGCGAGGAGGAGGCCATGGAACGGGAGGAGAAGCCAGAAGAAGAACGGCCACAAAGCATAGAGCGTCCACGCGGCGAGATGCCCGACCCGGGTCTTGCCGGCGAGCCGGAACGAGAGCAAATGGACAACAAAGACCATGGCGAGCGAAAAGTACGCCACCGAGGCGGAGCGGGCGCCGGCGACGACGCCGGCAGCAGTCGGCGGAGCCATCAGCGTGCCAGACGACGGGCCAGGCGCGCGACGCGGCGCCCTGCCGCTACCGGCACGGGTCGCTGCAACCCGCTCGACCATCCAGCTCTGGATGATGGAGAGAACCTGGCCAAACTGGTCGTCGTTGTGCAGCTCGTGCTTGCCCTTGGCCAGGATGTGGGCAGCAGCTGCGCCGTCGGGGACAAGCGAGGCAAACTCGACCGAGGCCGTCGGGTCGGTGATGACGTCGTCTTCGCCGTGGAGGACAATCATCGGATAGGCAAAGTCCGGCGCGGCGTCCATGGCGGCGTCGGCGGCCGAGAGCATCTCGTGGGCAAAGCGGACGGTCATGAACGGCAGGGTGAGGCGGTCGTTGACCACCTTGTCAACCTCGGCCGACCGCGAGGTGAGCGAGCACGGATCAATGTTTGAGCCGACGAGGAACTCGCCAAAGAGCGGCTTGGCAAGGCCGAGTAGGACCTTCTTCCACGCCGGCAGCGGGATCTTCGAATGCAGCCGAAGCATGGGCGAGGTGGCGATGAGGCCGGCCAGCGGGAGGCGCGGATACGTCTGCAGGTAGCGGATGCACAGCAGACCACCCATCGAGTGCCCGTAGAGGAAGCACGGCAGACCCTCGTACGCCCGCTCGTGGATGACCCGCAGATCCTCCACCAGCCAGTCAAACTGCCCGTCGGCGCGCGGGCCACCAGACATGCCATGCCCGCGCAAGTCGAGCGCATGCACCACCGCCCCGCCCGCCACAAGCGCCTTGGCCACATGCGCAAACCGGCCTGAGTGTTCGCCAAAGCCGTGGACGAGGACCACCGTCGCCACACGGGCCGCAGAAGGCGCCGGTGAGAACCGCCGGTACAGCAGCAGCAGCCCGTCGTGGCTCTCCACGTACTCCTCCACATCCACCTCCAGCCGGTTGATCGTCGCATACGACGTCGTGTACGACGGCATGGTCCGTCCTTGTGCTCCTGATGCCATACCTGTGTCTGTATGTGAATCTGTGTGTGTGTGTGTGTGTCCTGACGACCTGACGACCTGACGACCTGACGACCTGACGATCTGACGAACTGATGACTCGGCGAACGAGTGGCTGCGACGAGTGTTACGACTGGTTCGAGGCGCTACCACTCGCAGCCGCTGGCACCCTACTTGGTCAAGAGCTCCGATGGCATCGACTCAGTCGGCTCGTGAGAAGCGGGAAGTCATTCACCACCCTTTTGATGACGATGCGCGAATACGACGACGGCCAGCGCGCTCTGGGCGCCCAACTACTACCTTGATCTCGCGTCAACGCGGAGCCTTGGGCTACAGCTCGTGTACACGCAGGTCACCGTGCCAATCACCACATTGTGCTGGCACAGAGGGTCAGACCGTATAGCCAGTGGAGCGACGGCTCGGTTGGCAGCCGAGAATGTTGCATCATGGGAGCTGTACATCGATAGCTGGTCCATAATTATGCCTGCCCGCCACTGCGGATGCTCGCCAGCGCAGCAAAGACATCGGCCCGGGTGGTGAGCTTGGCTCGGCTCTGCCCGCTCGCACTGCCGGCAGCAATCTCCATCGCATCGAGCGCCTTCCAGTCAGCGTACGTCGTGACCCATTCGTCGACAAGAGCAGGATCGAGACCGGCGAGCGCAGCAAGGTCCGGGGCCGGTCGTGCTACCCCCGCCTCCTTGGCTGCGAGATCGCTCACGACTGCGTCGGCAGTCTCGACCGCGTCGTTGAGCGTGGCGACAATGACGCCGCGCGGCCCGCGCTTGACCCATCCAGCGGCGTAGAGGCTGTCCTCACCGACAACTCGCCCGGCGACATTTGGCACGACGCCGCGGACTTCGTCAAACGGCGCGCCCGGAAGCGGGACCGACCGATACCCAATCGAAGTAACGACGAGCGACGCGGGAATGACCGCGCTTGCCCCGGCCACCGCCCGCGACGCGTTCGGATCGTTCGGATCACGTTCCATGAGCTGGACCTTGACGCCGGCGACGCCGCTCCCGGTCTCATCGGCCACAAACCCAATAGGCTGGGTGTAGAACGCCATGGTGAACGCCTTGGCGCTCGCCGCTGCCACAGGTTCGTTCAGCCCGGACCCGTGCCCGTGCTCAAAGGCGGAGGCCAGGAGCTTGAACACCCGCGTTCGCACCCGATCGCCGGCCAGCGCCTTGGCCACGCTCACGTGCTTGGGTGACCACTCGTCGGCGTGCGCTACACCGCGTGCATGGACGCTCAGTCCCGACAACTTAGTCATCTCCCGGAGCTCCTTGGTGGTGCATGCCGCGTGCTGCGGCCCGCGTCGCCCTATCGCGGTCACCTTGCCGAGGCTCTGATACGCCGCCGCCAGCACATCGCCGACCGACCGTGGCATGTCGGTTGCCCTTAGTGCCTCGGGCGGCGATACCAGCATTCGCGCCACGTCCAGCGCCACGTTGCCGTGTCCGATCACCGCCACGCTGGCGTCGTCTACGTTGGCCACCCGCGCCCGCACCAGGCCCTCCATGTCGGCCGCGCCCAGCGCTCCGTTGTACCACTCGACAAACGCCCGCGCAGGCACAATACCCTCCAGATCCGCGCCGTCCACGCCGTCCAAGCTCTTCTCGGCCTCGGCGCCGTAGGCCAGGACGACGGCATCGTACGCCTCGCGCAGATCGCCCAGCGCTACCCGCGGCTGCGGCACGCCATCAGCCTCGCCCAGGCCGGACTTGCCCACACCCACATTCCCCATAAACCGGAACCGGTCGGAGAACCGGTCGGCCATGGCGTCAAAGGTGGTCGTCACCAGCTTGACCTCGGGATGGTCTGGTGCCACTCCGTTGCGGACGAGGCCAAACGGGAGCGGTGACGCGTCGAGCACGTCCACACTCACACCGGGCGCACCCTCCAACACATACTTGGCCGTGTACAGACCCGACGGCCCGGCTCCAACCACACATACCCGCGCGCCTCCTGCTACGCTCCCCTGCGACCGCACCCCTGCCATGCCCACGCTCTGCATCCACCGCAGGCCCCGCATCATCGTTCCACTGCTGGACAAAGTTGAGTCGGGTCGAGTCGACTGGTGCCAACTTCCCCCATCGCTTTTCCATTTTGCCTGTTGCAGGGCAACACGAACGGCTCGACCCTATTGCCTGGCAACCAGGCCACAAAACAACACGCGATCTTGCGGCATCCCGACATGGATATCACTCCCCATCACACTGCAAGACCCTCACTGGACTACATTACATGGCGGCTGTTTGCCCGGACACCTCGGCGCTCCAAGCATCAGAGTTTCGGCTCCGCCGCAGGCTGGGAGCCCTCGCCGAGGCCTCAGGCGATCACACCTCCCTCATCACGCTGCTGCTGCCGGGAAAGACGCAGGTGGCGCAGGTGGCGAGCATGCTCAAGGGCGAGGCGGCCAAGGCGGTCAACATCAAGTCGCGCGTCAACCGCCACTCGGTCCTCGCCGCCCTCACCGCCGCTCAATCGCAGCTCGCCCGCTACGCCTCGCGCGGCCTGCCCGACCATGGCCTGGCGCTGTTTGTCGGCCGCGACCGCGGTGGCAAGATGCTGAGCGAGGTCATTGTCCCCCACCACCCCATCCGCCGCAAGCGCTACCACTGCGGCCCGCGGTTCGAGGTCGGCGACCTTGTCCGCGACCTCGAGGCCCATGACGCCATCGGGTTCATCATCGTCGACGGCAAGTCGACCCTCTTTGCCCGCGTCGCCGGCTCGACCGCCACCGAGCTTCTTCACTTTCGCATCCAGCTGCCGCGAAAGCATGGTCGCGGCGGCCAGTCTGCGCCGCGCTTTGCCCGCCTCCGCGAAGAGGCCCGCCACAACTACGTCCGCAAGATCGCCGAGGAGGCAGCCCGCCTCTTCCTCGGCGCCGATCACGCACCGAACATTGCCGGCCTCGTCCTCGCCGGCTCGGCCGACCTCAAGTCGGTTGTCTCGTCGTCAGCCCTCCTCGACCCGCGCCTTGCTGCCATCGTCATCGGCACTCTCGACGTCGCATACGGAGGACGCAACGGCCTGCGCCAGGCCATCGCGGACGCTGCGCCGCTTCTCGGCTCGGCCCGCATCGCCGCCCAGCGCGCAATCCTCGGCTCGCTCCTTGAGGCTATCGCGCTAGACACCAACACCTACGCCCTCGGCCCGCAGGACGTTCTCGCTGCCCTCGACATGGGCGCCGTCGACCAGCTCGTGGTCTGGGACAAGCTCTCCGCCGTCCGGCGCGAGTACGCGCCCGCATCTGACGCCACCGGCGACCTACCCACCGCCGCTCACATAGTCCTCGTCGCCGACCCGGTCTCGCGTCGCATCCCCCCGCCGCCGCCCGGCTACGACCTCGTCGCCGAGTCGCCTCTCGTCGACTGGCTCGCTCAGCACTACCTTGACTTTGGCGCCACCATCCACTTTGTCTCGGACGCCACCAGCGAAGGATCTCAGCTGGCGCGTGGCCTCGGCGGCGTGGCGGCAGTCCTCCGATACTCGGTCGACTGGGCCGCCATCGACGGCTTTGCCGACGACGACGCCAGCGACGACGACTTGTGGGACGACGACAACGACAGCAACAGCAACAGCGGCAGCGATACCGACTCTGCCAACGCCGACCTCGATCCGTTTGCCACCTTCATGTAAAGGGTGCGCGACTCAAGCCGAGAAGAACCTGTCCCCACCATCCCGATCCCGGCCAGGAGCGAGCGTCCATCGTGTGTGGCCGTGTGAGTGTGTGTGGCAGGAGTGCGGGGCTGTCCCCTCCCCCTCTCTCTCTCTCTCCCCTCCTCCCCCTCACATACACCAGCATGAGAAAGATGACTAGCACGTTCCACACCGCCACCAGACCACGGAGGGTGCGCAGGGCGGCAAGGACGTTGCCCAGCTTGGCCACAACCGAGCTGCTGTCGTCGGCCACCTCACCAAAGTCGGCGGCGGCAGACGGCGCCCGCTTGAGCTTGTACTTGAGCACAGCACCGGCATTGACCACCAGCGTCACCGCAAGCACCAGGTCCGACAGCCGGAACAGTCCCATCATCCTGCCTGTCTGCTCCTCTCCCGGGTATTGGCGATAGTCAGGTGTCCGGGCCGGCCAAGGCGATAGAGGCGCCAACCCCCCCCTCCCTTCCCCCTCCCCCTCCCCCTCCCCTCCGTCCCTCCCTCCGTCCCTCCGTCCCTCCGTCCCTCTCCTCGCCCCTCGCTGACTCGTCCTTCTACTACCCTCCCCCCCCCCTCCCGATCTACCACTGCACACCCTCTCTCTCCCCTCTGCCGCCCTCCATTACACCCGATTCCCCCTTCGCACT